TTTTTAATTTTTAAATAAAGTTAAGAGATAAGCAGGTGGGCAGACAGATGGACGTGGGCTCTGAAGAGTACCCGGGCCTCTTACTTGCATCAGATCCCGCCTCTCCTTCTCGCCTGTACAAATGGCTTTCTTGATGGTCCTGAGCTCGCTCATTATAGCCTGAGCCTCATCCAGTTTGTAATTGGTGTGAGCACTTGACATCTTACGATCAATCCTGGTTCAAAAAGAAATATGAGTCATTCTATGTGAGATTACAACATTCTATTAAACAATAACAACCCAAAACTTAAAAGCTTCAGAGAAAGGTGGGAAACAGTTAAAAACAATGTTTTGACAAAGAAAAACAAAGATCCCATAAGACCTTCCTTGTTTGTGGTGAACACCAGATGAGACTGCTGGTGGATGGATCCCTTTGCTCCAAGAGCATCCTCTGCAGGTGAGGACGTTCCAGGCAGGGTTCCCGTGTTCTCTACTAATGCTCAGGCAACGAGTTCACTGGCTTAAAAATTTCCTGAAATTTTAAATTTCCCTCTCTGAGAGCAGGATCATGTCTTATTCGTTTATCCCCAGCATCTGGCTTAGTGGTCAAAAATGTCTATTAAATAAACATACCAATTAAATCTGTGTACAAGAAGAATATATGGGAAACAGCAAAAAGTAGTGAACTTTTAACAGGGACACACTGTACAAAAGTTGGAAACTCTTATGGCTCCTCTATCTTTCTTTTATTCTGACTCTAATTTATCACTCTCTCAATCTACTACTCCCCTTCTACTCAAACATCCATTCATCCTTCCTTCATGCTTCCCATTCAAGCTAACTTCCATCCATCCTTCCTTCCAGCCAGCCCACCCCTGGGCGCACAGGGCCTGGTTCTGGGTGGTGGAAGCAGAGCACTGACTGAGACTAGGCTTGGCTCTGGCCTGCAAAGAGCAGGCAGCCTCCTGTAGCTCGTCCTTGGTCACATCTTCCATACCTAAGTCTTAAGCCTTGGAAGCCCTCGGGGCTGAAGAAGAGACTTTGGTCCAGAAACAGAATGAACTCCTTCTCTGGAAAGTCACCAGCTTGCATTTCAGGCTCCAGATCCACCATGACACAGATTCTAGCTCTAAACTGCTCCCCCCATGTTACCCGAAAATCCAGATGCTTAACGGCCAGCCCAAACTCCCTTCTGTTCCACTCACAAGAGCATCCTGGCATGCTGGTGAGTACAAGTGACACTCCAGCTCTACAGTGGGACCCTGGGCAAGACACTTCACCTCTTTAAACCTCAGTTTCCTCATGCCTCAAATGAAGATACTAAAAATGTCCCTCCCATTTAATGAGAAATGTAAGAAAAGGGCTTACTTGGCAGAGACCTGGCGTATAATGTCTGTGCTGATTATTATTACCAGGATAATGCTCAGTCTACTTACTCATGGGAGAAAAAGTAAAAAATGCACCAACTCTGGTACTTTATCATCATTAACAAACTCCTGGCCACAAATGTCACAACTCAGAGCAAAACTCAGCACCAGAGCTGATCTGAGCTATCAGCACCACTGGGATGAGAGAACACGCAGGAAATCATTCCCTCCCTTTGGAATAGGGCTTCAGGGCTCAACAGCACTGCTATGATTGCCATCAACAAACAAAATATTTATGAAAACTGGGCCGAGTGCTCTTCCTTGGAGAGCGGATACAGATGCACTGGGGGACCCCACACATTGAATGGTGACACCCCTACATCCCAGCATGGCCTGGCCATGTGTTTCTCCATTTCAGCTGTTCTATGGAGAACCAGGAGTCTCTAATGCAAGGCAGGAACAAAGGCCATCCATCTCCCAGCACTGCATCTGTCTAGGAAGTGGCCCAACTTTCCTTGCAGAGAGAATCTAGACTCATTTATGTAATAATATCTCCTTATATCCATCTTCTGATAAAAGGCTTTCCAATACATCTCATTTAATGTCACAAACCACAACCCACATAGATTGATGAAGTCTGTAGAAAAGGGTTACATCATTTCCATACAAAAAACCCAAGGCCAAAAAAGTGTGATTTCTCTGTAACAGTTAATGACCAATGCCTTTGCTAACCAGGCCTACTGGCTCCTCCAGAATGAGAAACACAGCAAATGGATCGTCACCTGACACTGACACCCACATAGAGAAATGAAACTCTACTGCACTGAACAAAATGTTTTCAATTCTTTAACCATCAGAGCTAACCAAATGGTCAGAGAGTACAGACACACACCCACTGTTAAGGCCGCAACGTAAGATGCTAAACACATCAGCTCCAGCTTCGTAGTTAGGTGTTGTGACTTCCTTATAGCTTTTAGCAGCTACAGAGCCTAAGTGCAGCCATCAGTAAAGCCAGGCACCGCGCCAGCTGCCTGTCAAGGCACCAGCATCCACAATGGGAATGGCCGCTACCTGGAGGAAAACAGGCCCCGATTCCCATCAGGGAGAGGGATCCGCAACCCTGTAATGCCTCTCATCGGCAGACACTGCAAAGCGCCTCGGAGAACGAAAGTTCAACTTTAAGGCCACGGACCTGGGCCCTGACCTCAGCTCCACCCAGATGGCTCTGAGACCTCGAAAAGGAATGAAGATTGACCGAGAGCAGCTGTTTTCACTCTGTCCCGAGGGTGTCCTGGAGTGGTGAGCTGGAGTAAAGGGAGAACCCACACAGGGCTCGGGGACCCTCACCCCTGCTTCAGCAAGCCCGTCCCTTCGCTCCGTCTCAGACAGTCTGCTTCCACAGAGGGTGTCATTTGAGGGGAACGAAAGGGGAAAAGATTCCAGTTAAAAAGTGTGAAAGCTATTAGAGAAGATGATCTCAATGTTCTAGGAATCTCTGAAACACTACTGTTTAGAAATAGTTACGTATTATTGTAGAATATATAATTATGTAAAAAGTTATTATTATATAAATATAACCTTATATAGCCATATTTTATACAGTACCTATTATTTGACTAAATCATATAATTATATAAATAGCACATTAAAACAGTTCCGTGTATCAAGCACCTACTACCTAGGTGACAGTCTTGTTGCATGCTTTATGTCTGTCATCTCATTTAATCCCCTCAACAGTTTTATGAGATGACCATAATCTTCTCAGACTTTATAATGTAAAAATTGAGGCTCAGAGAGATTAAGTAGCCCAAGAGGACAAGCTGAGATCTGGCAGAGCCAAGGATCAAACCTACATCTCCCAGCTGTCAAGCCCGAACTGGATCACCAGTGCAGCGATGGCCCTTGCTACCCATGGGTGCCCTCCTGCTCAGAGTGGCCATGATAGGGCCCACCTGCTTTATCATCTAGCAAAAACTTCAAAGGACAGGCACCCTCTTCCATCGCATCTGCAAAATTCACTTATTTGGGAGTTTTCTCCCTTTTTCCAAATTCCCTCTAAAACTTTGGTCAAATTCGGAGGATATATTCAATGATTTGGTACTTTCTAAAATATCAATATATTCCATTTCGTGAAGAAAATCATAACATCTGTGACTGCCAAAGAGCTTTTTCTTTTTTTAATTTTAATTAAGAGCTCAAAACAGTGCTTATACATCTCAAATAAGATGACGGAAAGTTGACAAGGGCTCAACAAAAGGTGGCATTAGTAAGAACACAAGTTATTACACAGTGCGACGTGATGTGCATGCTTCTGTCCCCCCAGCACCCACGTGCTGGAATCCTAATGCCCAGGGTGACGGGATCAGGAGGCGGGGCCCTTGGGAGGTGATCAGGTCATGAGGAGGAAGCCCTCATGAATGGGATCAGTGCCCTTATGAAAGAGGCCCCAGGGAGCTCCCCTGCCCCTTCCGCCATGTGAGGACACGGCGAGAAGATGGCCATTCGTGAACTAGGAAGCTGGCTCTCACCAGAAACAGAACGTGACCATGCTGGCACCCTGATCTTGGACTTCCAGTCTCCAGAACTATGAGAAATGAATTTCTGTTGTTTATAAGCCGGCCGGTCTATGGCACTTTGTTACAGCAGCCTGAATGGACTAAGACCCAGTGTAAAAAACAAAACCCAGGACACAGACCACACAGCCCTTACTTTTCACCCCTCAACATTTTGCAGCAGCTTCGGGAAGGTTAAGTGACTTGCTCAAGGTCACACAGCCAATAAGAAGCACAGTGAAGCTTCACACCCCTCACACCACACTCATCCTCTTCTGTTGCCGGGCTAGCAATACATTCAGGGTCAAGGCCTCCAAACTCGCATTGTGTCAAATCGGAGGGCCACCCACATAGCCAGTCAGATGTTGTCCCGAAGTAAACTGGTGCTCTTTACTGGCTGCCTTTGAAAGAAACGGTTAGAGAGAAAAGACGGCACAGCTTCAAATGCTGACCACACACCGCTCAGAAAGCATCTTCAAGATGATTCTCATCAACCTCCCCCTCCCACTGCCCTCAAGTGTCCATATGTGCTGTTCAACTTAAGACGTCAAGAGAAGGGCTTCCCTGGTGGCGCAGTGGTTAAGAATCCGCCTGCCAATGCAGGGGACACGGGTTCAAGCCCTGGTCCTGGAAGATCCCACATGCCGCCGAGCAACTAAGCCCGTGTGCCACAACTACTGAGCCTGCGCTCTAGAGCCCGTGAGCCACAGCTACTGAGCCCGCACACCTACAGGCCGTGCTCCGCAACAAGAGAAGCCACTGCAATGAGAAGCCCACGCACCACAACCAAGAGTAGCCCCTGCTCGCCGCAACTAGAGAAAGACCGCACGCACGCAGCAACGAAGACCCAACGCAGCCAAAAATAAATATAAATAAAATTAATTAATTAAAAAAAAAAAGATGTCAAGAGAACTGGTCTGACAAAAGTAAAACCAAATGGATTCTTAAACCCACATCTTGAAGAAAAGGGCTGCCAGGCCTCGAAAGATATTCCACGTTAATACCACACATTAAAAGCCCCAAGAATGAGAAGTGTTGTTATAACTCTACCTTTTACATCACCAGCCCTGGCAGGGGGCCTTGAACGACCCTCACAAAGCTTCCGGCAGCTTTCTATCAGCAGCCGGTCCTGCGTGGAACGCCAGACCCGTCGTGAGACGGGAACAACGCTCTTTTTGTTTCCGCCCCCATTTCTGTATGTTTTACTGTTATCTGAGGAGCGCTGGCCTTTTAGCATGGGCTGTAGCTTCTGTGCTACGGTAATGGGATACTGCTGGTCTAAGCCTGCGCTACCTGTGAACAATCCCGTTCTCTTC